GCCAACAAAACTGGCGCCTGGGGCTGCGGGGTCGCTACCGCTGCCACAGGGGGGCTGCTGGCAGCCCCAGGCGCAACCCATCAGGCCTTGGCCTTGGGCTTGGCGGCGCCGCCCTTGGCTCCGCCCTTGGCGCCGCCGCCTGCTGCGCGCTGCCCGTCCGCCGCCGCCGCAGCCGCGAACTTGGCAGCTGAGAGTCGCTGCGCCTCCTGCTCCACCGCCGCCTCGTGCTCGGCCGAGCCCGCGCCCGCGGCGCCCGAGGAGCTGGCTGCGCCGCCGCCGCCGCCGCCGCCAGCAGCCCCACCAGGCTGCGCCTCAGAGCCGCCTGCGGGCTGGGGGGCGGCCCCAGCTGCGCCTTGGGCCGCCGAGCCGTCCTGCGCGCGACGCTTCTTGGTCATGCGCTCCGAGATGGCTGCCTTAACCTCCGCTGCCTTGCGAAGCCACTCCTGTACCTCCGCGTTCTTGTTCGAGAACATGGCCTGCATCTTCTCGAGCTCCTGCTTAATGCTGCGCAACTGGGTGCGCTCGGACTCCTCGACCTGGTCCAGATCGTCGAAGAGCTTCGTGTCCCACTTCACCTCGAAGGCGGGCCGCTTGCCGCTGGCGGTCGCACCGTCGAGCCCCGCTGCCCGCGCCAGCGCCTGCGCCGCCTGCCTCTTGCCGATCTCGGCGGAGGCGAGGGCACGCGCCGCGAGCTGCTCCCTCTCTTCGGCGGTCTGAAGAGCCGCCCTGAGGCGGTGGACATTGGCGCCTGATCATGCTTGTGGTTGGCGTCCTTCCAGACGCCCTCCGCCTTCGAGACCAGCACGGCCTCCGACGGCGGCGGCGGCCCCTGGTCGCCCTTCGTCGCGAGGGCGTCGATCTTGGCCTGGAGCGACGCCCTGAGGTCCACGTCCGTGACGGGGGTGGCCTCGAGCGCTGCCTTCAGGTGGTCCGCGACTGAGGGCGCCGCGGGCTTGGGCTCCTGGACGACGGGCTGCTGGTCGCGCTTCCTCGACTTGGGCGAGAACAGCACCACCTTCTTCCCGCACGCACAGAAGCACTGCTGGCGAATGAGAATGTCGTTGTACTCCGCGCGTTGGCACGCGCCGCAACGGCTCCACTGGCGAGCCGCCGTCATTGCTGAGAAACTGAAAACGCTGGCTTTGGTCGGCAGGTGGTCCGTGGGGAGATCGGACGGCCTGCAGTGCCTCGAGCGCCCCGTGCAGGCACCAGCGTCGGCCCCAAATCTGGTTGGAGCCCAAGTGGCTTGAGGGGCCGAGAAGGAGGAGGAAGATGAGGATGAGGAGGAGGTGGAGGAGGAGGGCGAACAGAAAGGCCAGAAGCCTCTTGGATGCCCTTCGGAGTCTCTTCGCATTTCTTCCGAGAGCTTCGTGCCAGGTGTGCGCCAGGTGTGCCGCATACTGCAGCCGCGCCAGGTGCGCCACGTTCGGGGCACGTGCAGAGTGTGTCAGGTGCGCCTGCGCACGTGACAGCACACATCAGGAAACATGTCGGCCCCCACCATCCTTGTCGAAAACTAATGCCCATCATTGTGTCTGGTGGGCCTGCGCACAGCAGGCCATACGCCACCACCCCCGCCGTCCCTGTCAAAAACCACTTGACAGTGATCGCGGGGTGGCCGCGCATGATCCAGATTTAGCCGCGAGGTGCATCTTGTACTGGATGGTAGCCCTGCGCGCAGCAGCAGGCAATATGCTGACACCTCCGCAGTCCCTGCCAGAAACTATTCAAAGTGCTCGCGGGCCTCACGAACATGACTCAAGACTTTGCCCCAAAGTGTACTTCGCGTACTGTTAGTTGACAGGGACGGTGGGGGTGGGCCGCATCGGATTGGCCGCGCATGCTCCAAATGTGGAAGCAGGGTGCGTTTTGTATTGTTCTTGACAGGGGCGGTGTGTGTGTGTGTGTGTGTGTGTGTGAGAGCATTTTGTCCTCATGGTTCCTGGTTGGCTGCCGGTCGCCTGGGGTGGGAGTGTATAGGGAACAGTGATAAGCCCCTCCCCGAAGGTCAATAAGGGGGTTGGAAGGGGAAACTCCAGACCACTGATGCCCTAAAGGGCTAAGGTCTCCCGGGAGCGACCAGTACCGTAACAATATATTATCTGTAGGATTCCCGATAGTGTTTATGTATTTATTTGTAAATCCATACATATATAGATGTATATATATATATATATAGAGAGAGAGAGAGAGTGTGTGAGAGCGAGAGAGAGAGAGAGAGAGAGAGTGAGAGCGAGAGAGTGAGAGAGAGAGAGGGAGAGAGCGAGAGAAAAAGAGAGAGAGAGAGAGAGAGAAAGAAAGAAAGAAAGAGAGAGATGGAGAGAGAGAGAGAGAGAGAAAACAACCAAAACGCCGCAACAAGCTTTTCGCACCATGGCTCCCGAGAGCGAGCGTGACGTGAGTCATCCCGGGCCCGGGCGGGCCGGGGGACCGGGACCACTACCACAAGTGTCGGTGCTGGGGGCCGAGGAGGATGCCCAGCGAGGCGTCTCGAACGGCGCCAGAAGCTTCGAAGACGCCCCAAGTGGCGCTCCAAGACGACACCCGAGAGAGCCCCGAGAGGCACACCTCTTCCCACTCCCTCAGGGAGACGTGCATTGTTAGCATATTTGCTTCCGGGACCTTCACAGCAACACAGACGGCCCAACATGCTCCCTGGACTGACTGCCCTACGACGGCCCAAGAAACCCCCAAGAGGGCCCCAAGACGGCCCCATGGGTCCGAAGACGGCCAAAGGCGTCCAAGACGGCCCGAACGGGCCCACGAAGGAACCCAAGAGGGTCCAAAGACGGCCCGACTGTTCGGTGGGGGCACAGGAGGCCGTCACGTGTGACACCTTGTGTCTCCGTGGTTGGAAAAGCCGTGGTGATGATGATGATGGTGGTGGTGGTGGCGATGATGATGATGGTGGTGGTGGTGATGCTGATGCTGATGATGATGCTGATGATGCTGATGGAGACGATGATGATGATGATGATGATGCTGATGATGATGATGATGATGATGCTGATGCTGCTGCTGATGACCATGATGCTGATGCTGATGACCATGATGATGATGCTGATACTGGTGATGGTGATGATGATGTTGTTGATGATGCTGCTGCTGTTGCTGCTGCTGACGATGATGATGCTGCTTCTGATGATGATGTTCATGGTGATGATGATGCTGATGATGGTGAGGATGATGATGCTGTTGATGATGATGATGACGATGCTGATGACGATGATGTGGCGGCTGCTGCTGCTGATGATGCTGAGACTGATGGTGACGAGGATGAGGATGCGGATGAGGATTCTGATGGTGGTGGTGGTAGTGATGCTGATGATGCCGATGCTGATGCTGATGGTGATGCGGATGCTCATGCTGCTGATGATAGCGATGATGATAATGATTGTGATGATATTGATACTAGTGATGATCATGATGCTTAGGATGATGATGATGATGCTGATGTTGATGGTGACCATGATCGATGCTGCTGATGATGATGAGGATGAGGATGCGGACGACGACGATGTAGATGATGATAATGATGATGCTGATGCTGATGATGCTGCTGATGATGCTGCTGATGATGCTGCTGATGTTGATGATGCTGCTGCCGACGATGGCGATGCTGGAGCTGCTGCTGTGCTGATGGTAATGCTGATGATGCTGCTGATGAGGATGTAGATGATGCTGCTGTTGATAGTACTGTTCATGGTGATGCTGATGCTGCTGCTGATGATGATGATCATGATGATGGCGATGACGATGACGATGACGACGACGAATGATGATGATGATGATGATGACGATGATGGTGGCGGTGATGATGGTGATGATGACGACGACGAAGACGATGAGATGCCGATGATGATGCTGCTGCTGATGATTATGAGGATGCTGATGCTGATTAGTATGGTGCTGCTGCTGTTGATGATGTTTGTGGCGGTGATGATGCTGGTGCTGATTCTTGTGCTGATGATGATGCTGCTGATGCTGATACTTCTGATGATGATGCTGCTGTTGATGATGACGATGATAATGACGATACTGATGCTGATGCTGATGCTGATGCTGATGATGATGATGCTGATGATGATGATGATGACGACGATGATGATGATGATGATGATGATGACGATGATGATGATGATGATGATGATGATGATGATGATGATGATGATGATGATAATAGTGGTTGTGGTGTTGGTGGTGATGCGAATAAGGGTGAGGATGCTGCTGATGATAATGACGATGATACGGCTGCTGCTGCTGCTGATGATGATGATGATGATGATGAGGATGAGGATTCTGATGGTGGTGGTGGTGGTGATGCTGCCGCTGCTGCTGGTGATGACGCTGGTTGTGGTGGTGGTGGTGGTGGTGGTTGTGATGATAATATGGGTGAGGATGCTGCTGCTGCGACTGCTGCTGCTGCTGCTGCTGCTGCTGATGATGATGATGATGATGATAATGATGCTGATGATGCGGCTGCTGCTGCTGATGATGCTGAGACTGATGACGACGAGGCCTAGGATGCGGATGAGGATTCTGATGGTGGTGGTGGTGGTGGTGGTGATGATGCTGCTGATGATGATGAGGAGGAGGAGGCGGAGGAGCAGGAGGAGAAGGAGGAGGAGGAGGAGGAGGAGGACAACTGGATGATAAACGGAGGATCAACGCAGGAGGAGGAGGAGGAGGAGGAGGAGGAGGAGGAGGAACGGGAGTCTCTTGAGTCGCCTTGGGACCATCGTGTAGGCTTCTTGGGCCGTCTGAACTGACGGACGCTCGAAACGGAGAGGTTGTGAACATCATTCAACAACCAGCGGGAGCTTACTGATTTTGGCTTCTTCGGGCCCTGTTGAAGGTCCGCTTGTGGCCCTTTTTTGGACCCTCTTGGTGGCATCTTGGGCCGTCTTGAGTCCATATTGGACCGCTGGGGGGCCATCTTGGGCAGACTTCGAGGTCTTTGGGCCATCTTGGTGTTCTCCGATGCCTGCCTGGACCGTCTTGGAAGCTCAGGACACGGACGCATCTTACTTGCACGAGGGATCGTGACGTCAGGACCCCCATCTTTTTTGTACGAGGCCGACCCGTCTAGATTTAGGCCCGTCGCCGTTCTGGCTCAAGAGCTTTCTGCAGCCAGCCTGATCCGCGAGCACTCCCAGCCACATCCCGATCTGCCACCAATGACCTCGGCCACGGAGCGCATGGAGCTCGCGGAGGTCGGCGGCGAGGCGAGCGGGTCGGAGCAGTTCTTGGTCCAGGATGCTCGCGCCAGGCGTTCGCCCTGGCGGGTGGCGGGTGGCGCAGGTGTGGCCGCCTTGCTCCTGGCCGGCGCAGGCGCAGGGGCAGCGCGCTTGGCGCTGCACGGGGCGGCCTCGGACACGGACCGCCTCCAGAGCAAGGTGCAGACGGTTGCCCTGCCGCCGCGCGACAAGTGCGCCAGCACGGACGACGACTGCTACAGCCTGGGGTGCTGCAACGTTGCGGGCCTGAACTGCTTCGAGACCAAGCCGGGGAAGGGCAAGTGCCTGAAGAACTGCACCCCCAGCGCCTCCCAGTTGTGCGTTCAGACGCAGCCGATCATGGACCCGATCCTCAAGGATGCCGACTGGTACGGCCCGTCATTGTACTGCTTCGCAGTGGTCATGCAGGACATCGGCAGCACAAAGAAGATGTACGACTTGGAGCTGCTCCAGGGAGCGTACGGCAGGAAGACCAGCATCTTCGGGTGCGAGAACTGGGGAGTATTCAGCGACAAGGAGGGGGAGGTCGGGCCCGGCGCTCCGCTCGTGAAGCTGGAGGATGCCGACGGGGACTTCCATTTCGCGAAGAGAGAGGAGACCGGCACCTGGCTGAACACGGGCTTGCATTACCAGGCTTGGAAGGCAATTGGGGAAGCCGGCGTGTACAAGAGCGCAAGCTGGGTCGTGAAGGTCGATCCAGACGCGGTGTTCGTGCCGAGCCGCTTGGTGTCTTACCTCTCTAGCAAGGTGGTCCCAGCCAACGGCCTCTACCTCGAGAACTGCAAAGGCGTGAAGTACGGGTGGTTCGGCAGCCTGGAGATCTTCTCGGCGGTGGCCTTCGAGACGCTCCTGGGGTCGATGGCCGCGTGCAAGGGGGGCACCGTCGATTGGAAAACGGGCGTTGACGGAGGCAAGTACGGCCCCATGGGCGAGGATCTGTTTGCGCAGGTTTGCTTGGATACGAACGGCGTCTCTCGTGGAGAGGCATTCGGCACCAAGCTGGACGGAACTTGCGAGGCGGACCGGCCAACCGCCGAGAAGAAGAACAAGAAGTGGAAGCCCACGTGCGACGGCGAGAACTTCCCAGCGTACCACCCGCTGATGAAGCCTGAGGACTATATGGCGTGCTTGGATGCCACCACCAACGCATTTGGCTACTGAGCGCCCTGCAGCAGGCAGTGAAGCCGCAGTGCGCCAGGCATAGCGCCCTGTCCGCTTGCCTGCTGTGCCCCGCGGCCGCCGTTTTTTGGTCGTGCAGGCATTGTTCGCGCTGCCCTGGCCACTCCTTATCACACAAAGCTGGTGTTGGGCGAAGATGTGTCCGAGGCAGCAGGTAGCCTGGCGCTGCTTAATTATGGGAGCTCCCCATTTTTTTCCGGCTCGTTCTGACGGCCTCAGTGGCCAGCGAAAGCATCACCACAGTAGTTGTGCAGTTCCCTGCCGTGGGTAAGCTTCTGCTTTTCCACGGAGGCCTCTGCGGTGCTTTGAGCCTCATGTGTGTACATATTTTTCCGATCTGCATCGATGCGGTGAGGGCAACAAAGAACCGGGCTAAAGACAGCAGGGGTGTGTATGTCAGGTGCAACGTTGAGGGGGGGAATAGGCTCAGGGGGAGGCGCATCGACCGCCCATCGCCCACTCATCGCCGATATGGGCCCGATGGCCCACCCCGCCCAGGAACGTGCGGACTCGCTGTCGGGGGCCCATCGCCCCTCAGCGTGGAGGGGTTCGGGGGGCAGGGCGGGAGGGAGGGCAGGAGGCCAGGCTGGCCGCACCGAGCAGTCGAGGTCGGCTCCCCCTCCCGACCGCCCTGGCCACTTTCCTGGCCAATCTCCCTGTCACCCTCCTCGCGAATTCTAGACGCTTCGTGTAACCCCACCAGCCAATCCAGAAACGATGCGAAGACGAGTTGCCCTGATCAGGGATGTGGAGGAGCATGCCGTGGAATAGTGGGCTGGGTAAGACGTCCTATCCCAAGAGGCGGGAGGATGGAGGAGGAATCGGAATCGGAGGAAGGGGCGGAGGAGGAGGAGGAGAATGAGGAGGAGGAGGAGGAGGAGGAGGAGGAGGGAGATGGGGGAGGGAGAGGAGGAGGAAGGAGGAGGAACAGGCGGATGACGAAGAGACGGAGGAGGATGATGAGAGAGAAGGAGGATGAGGGCGAACAGAAAGGCCAGAAGCCTCTTGGATGCCCTTCGGAGTCTCTTCGCATTTCTTCCGAGAGCTTCGTGCCAGGTGTGCGCCAGGTGTGCCGCATACTCCA